TTTAAATTATTAAGTATTTTTTTGAATTATGTATATAATTCGGCAGGAAAGTTAGTTTCATATTAGGTATCAACCACTCATTTGCACTTTCAATGGCAACACTATTCAAAGAGAGCATGTGGGAAAAATGCATTTTTTTATGCATTTAATTGCTTCAGTATTGGCTAGCAAGTGGTGCAGCATAGTTCACCCCATCACCTGGAAGTAACAAGTTCTCTGCCGCAGCCATCCATTGCCAGGAGTCCAACTAAGCAAAATTGGCTCTCCCCTATCAATCACAGCAACACTAGCCAATCATGTATCTGTGAGCTCATGCATGCAGAAGGGGACGGATAGCACTGTGCTCCTAGTATTTTACACCCAGCATGAACAGCAGTTCAAAAACATGCTGTTGGCTGGCTTCATCAGCCTTCGAGGAAGTGTGTGATAGCCTTCACCCTGCCCAGTTGGTAGCTGTCATATAATAGGGCAGAGCTAACTGGTGGGTAGGGATTAGCCAAAACTAAAAATTAGGGAGGAGACATTGCCTCAGCATTAAAGTTTAGGTTCAGTTTTTTTTTCTTGTGAAAAAATTAGTCCATTAGTGTTTTTGACATAATGCTATCCAAAAGTTACTTTTGGAATTATTATGAGTAATTGGAAAGTCCTTAGTAAACATAATAAATTCAGCACTCATCTTGGGCCATGTCCCCAATATTTTAAAGACAACCATTATTAAGCCATTCCTTACTGTCCAAATTCCAATATCTAAGACTTTGGAGAAACCATTCCTTTTTAAGTAGACATAGTTTCTAGAAGCATCATAGTACAGAATCTGCTGGCCTCAGAATGTGGATATGTTTTTGTTTTGGTACGATTAATACAGCATTTGAAATTAATGACCATGATATTTTAATGATTAGGCTTGAAGACAATCAGTGTTAAACAGATAAGTTCTTGCATGGTTCAGACCCTATTTGACAGACCATTACCAGATTGATTAATGGAGATTCTTGAGAGCCTAAACAAGTGCAATATGGTGTACTACAAGGTTCTGTTTTAGGCTGCCTATTACTCTTTCTTTATTTTCAGCCCCTAGTATGTGTATTTTGCAAACATTTACAAAACTTTTTCTTTTATGCTAATGATTTTATATGCTGATATCACAATTTTACTTATCAGTTCAGCCAGATTTAGCAGCACAGCTATGCAAAATGGAAAACTGTGTAAAAGACACAACAGCATGAATAAATAGAAAATTCCTTCTCCAGAATTCTGAAAAAAAAAACAGAAATTCTGATGTTGGATACTAAGTCTGCCTGTGATAAGACTACAAATTTTATCCTAAAGTTTAATAGTTTTTTTTTTTCTCTGAGATCCTAAGAGCTTCATGTAAGAACATAGGTATATTATTATATTCTGGTTTATGATTTGATTCCTATGTAAGTGACATCTCTAAAATTTCTTATGATCTAAAGCAAATGAACCTATATTAAATGAAATATATTAACCAAAAATAAAAAAGAACCTTGTATAAAAAAAAAACAAAGTGTCAGTTTATCAGTTTATTACAGGTGAGTTTTCACCTTAGAAAAATTTTAGGGAAAAATAGGAGAAATAAAACAGTTACAAGAACCTTGTTGCATAAGTGTGCACAACCTTTTATAATTGGGGATGTGGCTGTGTTCAGAATGAACACAGAATGAACATTCAATCTTTGGTGTTCATTCAATGTTCATCATTCAATGTTCAGAAGTAATTATCATATAGCTGTCATCAATGAAATTATTCTGATTAACCAAAAAATAAAGAAACGTTGTTTCTGTAGGATTTTCTTAACATGTTCTTGGTTTCATCTATCTGCTGAAGCCATGGTCTGCAAAGAGCTGTGAAAACCTGTACAGGGCCTCACTGTCAAAAAGAATCCATCAGGAGAGGGGTACAAAAGTATTTCCAAAACATTTACCATCTACTATAGAACACCATGAAGGCCATCATCAACGAGTGGAGAATTTGGAGCACCATAGTGACATTAGCAAGAACAGGACTTCCTTCCAGAATTTACAAAAGGACAAGGCAAAAACTTACCAGGGAGGCTGCCAAGAGACCTACAACAAAATTAAAGGAGCTGCAGGAATATCTGACAAGTACTGATTACTCGCTGCCCCCTTTCTCACAAAAAAAAAACACCCAAGGCCAACTAAATCAGCCCAATCATGTGGAAAAATGTGCTATGTTCTGATGAGACCAATTCCAAAAGTTATAATAATTCCATAATTCCAAAAGGTATGTTTGATGTAAAAAAAAAAAAGCACATCACCAAAAAGAACACCATGCCCATGGTGTAGCATGGCCCAAGGAATTTCACCTTTCAGCACGACAATGACCCAAGGCTAGCTGTGACAGCATAAATAAAAGGGAAAGCCAGAAGGTAACACAGACGTGAGGGCACCCTTGGACATCTAAGTTTCATTCTTTTACTTCACCTGCCATTTTAACAGGGGTGTGTGGACTTTTTATATCCACTGTATATACAGTCAGGTCCATAAATATTGGGACATCGATACAATTCTAACATTTTTGGCTCTATACACCACCACAATGGATTTCAAGATGTGCTTTAACTGCAGACTGTCAGCTTTAATTTGAGGGTATTTACATCCAAATCAGGTGAACGGTGTAGAAATTACAACAGTTTGCATATGTGCCTCCCACTTGTTAAGGGACCAAAAGTAATGGGACAGAATAATAATCATAAATCAAACTTTCACTTTTTTAATACTTGGTTGCAAATCCTTTGCAGTCAATTACAGCCTGAAGTCTGGAACGCATAGACATCACCAGACGCTGGGTTTCATCCCTGG